TCCCTTTAAAGCTTAATGTAGTTGTTCTGGTGAGTATAATAGTTCCCTTCAGGCTTTTTCATACAAACACTGCTTTTTTTTCAGAGAAAAGGCAGTGTTTACATGGCATCTAGGAGCACCTCCAAGTGGCCACTCCTTAGATGGCAACTGGAGGTGCTTCCTGGGTCAGTGCTGTCGAAAAAGAAAGCATTGGATTGGCTAAAAATCGTCCATTTTGATTATGTCACAAAGTGGGTGGAGCCAGCACAGCACTGGAAATAAGGAGAGTTTTAAACTTTTATAGAGGGGATAAGGGAGGGCAAGCCACCTAAATGGTGAGTTAAACGCTATAGAGCCAGGAATACATGTTTGTGTTCATGACCCTATAGTGTTCCTTTAAATAAAAATCTGATTAAAAAAATAAATAAAAAATAAATAAAAATAAAAAAAATCTTACCTATAGAGGTTAAACTAGAACGGTTTAACCCAAAATGTTGCTTCCACCATCGCATCTCCATTTCCCCCCCATCAACATTCATATTCTGAAATTGACTTTTAGAAAGGACGGAGTGCTGATTGGTAGGGGCATCTCTGACTGGCTAGTGTACTCAGCTGACGCTCTGTGTTCTGTATACATTAAAAAAAAAAAAAGTATATATTTTTTTTTTTTTTTTATGAATGGAAGCTACTAATTGGCTTAGAGTTAGCTTACCACTCTAGCCAATAAGCAGCTACCCTGCCCAGTGGCACTTAGCACTTCCTGAAAGAAGCCAGATGCCACTGGGGTGCACTCAGCGCTTCCAGAAAGAAGCCAGATGCCACTAACTTTGACCAGTGTTTGTGACCAAGTGGCTACTAAAAAAGACTTGACATACCCCATTTGCAATATCTTGGGTTGTCTACTATTACAAATGGTATGCCATCATGGGGGTAATTCTCATTCCTGGTCTACCATACAGTCTCAAACGCAATGTAGCGAATCTCAATGTGAAAAAACTGAAAAAGTAACATGCTATATTTGACCCTGTACATAAGGGGTACTGTTTTGCATATGAGACACCGCTTAATACAAATGTGTATTTTATTGCAGCAAAAACAAAAAGTATTATGACAGTCACAGTTAAAATGCCATGTAGAACAAAAAACAAAAACACACAATATTTATTTTCTCCAAATATTTTTTTTTTTTTATATTTTATTCATATTAAATTATGTTTTATAGCTAAATATTTTATGTTAAATGAAAGCCCTGTTTCTCCTGAATAAAATGATATATAATAAGTGTGGGTGCACTTAATATGAAAGAGGTGAATTGCGGTTGAACAGACATATATAGTAAAATTCCAGGTTTTGTTTTGATCACAACGTGTACATTTGGTTCAGTCCTTAACCCCTTAATGACAGGTGACAGACAAGGTCTGTCACAGAGGGGAGACCCTTAACGACGAGTGACAGACCTTGTCCGTCACGGGGTAAAATTAACCCCAGATCGCCGCGATCGCTGCCCAGCACCGGTGCTCACTCTGACAGGCTGTCAGAGCGAGCACATGTGCTCAGTATACTTACCTTCCGCCTCCCTGCACTTCCTGGTTCTGTGTGAAGTGCAGGGAGACGGATCAGTGCTGATCCCCCCTGTGTAAAAAAATAAATAAAGTTATTATAAAATCCCACCCCCCTTTACCCATTTAATAAAAAATAAAAAAAAATGAACCCCTTCTCTGCCAATTGATCACTGACTACAGTGATCAATTGGCAGGGATTACATTTGATCTGATTTTTTTTTTTTTAACCCCTGAGGGTTAATTCCTTTTTTTTAAGCCCTTTTTTTTTTTTTTTAATGGTATCAAGTATTTTAAAATTATATATTTAGCTAGCTGGGGTAGGTGGAAGTTAGTGGGGAATTAGTGGATTTGCTGTTAGGCTAACTAAGGGTTAACGTTAAAAAGAGTTTTAAAATAAGCTTTAAAAAGTAAAAAATTAAGTTAGAAAAAAAAGTTTTAACGTTTTAGTAAAAAAATATATTAAAAAAAACACCCCCTTTACCCAGTCCAAATAAAAATTAACCCCTTCCCTGTCAGTCGATCACTGCCTACAGTGATCAAAATACAAATCACAGTATTATACTCAGGGGTTCAATTTATTTAATTAACAAATTTAAATATTTTATGATTATATAGTTTGCTAGCTGGGTTGGGTGGGAGTTATGGGGAAATGGTGAATTTACTGTTTGTAATGAGCCTGGCGGTCCTAGGTGGTATTATCGGCAATATCGGTATCTGAATTAGTGAAGTTAGTGGCACATATGAAATATATAAAATGCCCAGCAAAAATGCAATCCGTATGTAAAAAATGCCCCAAATTATTTTTTTACCATATACTTTGGCATATTGTGGTGACAAAATGGGGGCATGCTAAGGCACAATATGCACTTTATGAGATACCCTGGAGTGTCTACTTTTACAAATGGTAGGCCTTTGTGGGTTTTTTTTGAACAGTCAAACTACTATAACAACCCAAATGGAAGGATAGGCTCATTAAATCCGTCTCTCAAAATTCTACTGTGAATACTGAAAAGGACAGGTCTCCTATATGGCACTGTAGCTTCACGAAATAGTGCCAAAGACATACAATGGGGGTGTCATTTTACTCAGCAGATGTAACTGTACACAAAATAAAACTTTGTACAGGAATAGCACACACTAACCAACATACACATGAGAAGTTCTTTGTTATAAGTTTGTGTGCCAAACCCCCCCACCCCAAAAAAAACAAACACAATTTTACTCCAATATTTAGCAGAGGTTGACGGTGAAATGGCTACGTAGAAAGTGTCAAAAACAACCCTAGGTAAATAGCCTGTGATGTCTACTTTATATAAATATATTCTTTTGCGTGGCAATTTTGTTTTCTTTTATGCCTATTAAGCTTACAAGACAAACATACCAAATTATAAAATCGCTCCACATTAAATGTTTTGCTTTGTGACCTGTAACTACCAAAATAAAACTTAAAATCCCAGACACATTATATATTCTGTAAATCAGAACAACTAAATTAATTTATTTTTTAATTACTTTGCTTAACCTGCACTAATTGTGCACACATTATTATTGTAAAAACTGTAAAAAAAAAAAAAGAAATTCTGTATTTTTTATAATAAATAAGCATGAGAGATATATATAAATAAAAAGAATAATTTAGGCACTCACCCTTGAATTAATGCAATATAACTGCCTTAGGTGCTTCCAATGTCCAAAATATATAAATGAATCGATGAGATGGAGCACTCAAAAGGACTTCAGCAAAGTGTATTTATTGTAATAAAAAAATTTACATTGTTGTGCAAATAATCTAAATCGACGTTTCGACCCCTCAGGGTCTTTTTCATATACACACACACACACACATCAAATTAAAGCCCTTTCTGTCCTTTAACCCCTCAAGGACCAAACTTCTGGAATAAAAGAGATTCATGACATGTCACACATGTCATGTTTCCTTAAGGGGATAAAAAACAAAAACGGTATATAATATGTGCCGGTGCAATAAATTAGTAAAATGCAAATTGCAGTTGAACGCAAACAGCAAAAATAAATGTTTTTGTCATTAAGTGAAAGACAAGCTTCTGAAGCTCTGTCCTTAAGGGGTTAAAGTTAATTAAATGGTTATTTGTGCGATTTTTACACAACTCAATAGCTAACTAAAATTTAGCTATATGATGTTCCATGTGCCTTTAAAATTATGAATGCCCGAGCACATAATTTCATGCAGCATTTCTCTGTATTCACCCTGAATACAGACTTATTTTTTTTATAGGAAAAAAACACTTATCTGATGCATTACTCATCCTTATATCTGCTTCTGTGACAGTTCCACAGTGATAGAACATACACCAGCTTTGTAACTACACAACTACATGGGACAATATTTAGCTAAGCATATATTTTAGGGAAAGGATGCTAAATGATTAAATACATTGTTCACCATCATAAAAAATATGTCTCAACAGGAAGAAAAATGGCGTGGGATCTCTGTTCCTGTAATGGTGCGTCTCATCGTTAATACCAAACCCTGCAAAACTATATCACAGTGGAAATCGTCCCCTATATACAAGTAATTAATTAATATCAGAAATAATGTTATACAATACGTATTCTCACCTTCCTTCTCGTTCATAACGTACACCTGTACCGACTGAGACATTATATAAAGTAAAAGAAAAAATAACCGTATACCACACAACGTCGCAAACTTCGACCAGCAAAGGACCTTAAATACCAAATCAATTTTATCAAAAATCACATATAAGAAAATTCGATTGGACTTTATGTTAACAACTATTTGTTAAAAGTTGCGTGCTGTTCTAGGATTATATACATTAAATTGTCAAAATGGCCTTTTTAATCAGGAATGTGCTGGGACACCTAAGTGAGCACTTAGCATCACGGGAGATGTAGTTCTGTGTGGTGAAATGCATCTGTGATTCAACTCCTTTGCTCTTGCTTTATAATAATAATGCTACTGAGTAGAGGGAGTATTGCTGTTATGGTTTATGTTTCTGCTCTGTTACATTATTTACAGTCTGCAATTCATTTGTCCTTCTCCTCAGTAAACGCCATTCAGGTGTTTACTGGGCTTAAAAGGACCACTATAGTGCCAGGAAAACACTCGTTTTCCTGGCACTATAGTGCCCTGAGGGTGCCCCCACCCTCAGGGTCCCCCTCCCCAGTGGTGTATCCTTGTTTTGTGCTGCCCTAGGCAGGACAAAACGCAGGCGCCTCCCCCCCCCCCGCCTTCTAAATACACACACACACACACATTCACTGACAGATACGCATACACTCGCTAACAGAAACACACACACTAACAGACACACTCACACTCACTAACAGACACACACTCACTAACACACACACTCACAGGCAAACACACTCACACAGTCAGACACACACACACTCACTGACACACTAACAGACAAACATAGTCAGACACACACACTAACAGACTCACTCACTAGCAGACACACACACACACACTAACAAACACACACACATTAACAGACACACACTCACTGACACACACACTCACAGGCAAACACACACTCACTGACACACACACACACAGGCAAACACACACTCACTGACACACACACACAGGCAAACACACACTCACTGACACACAGTCAGACACACACACATACACACTAACAGACACAGTCAGACACACACACACTAACAAAACACACACACATTAACAGACACACACTCACTCACTCACATTAACACATTTTTTTATTTATTTTTATTTAGCCCCCCCCCCCCTTACCTTTGGGAGTGCTGGGGGGAGGGGTTCATTACCTCCCTGGTGGTCCAGTGGATGCCGGCTGGGCTAGGCAGGCGGCTGGCGAGGGAGCACTTCCTCTGAGCTCTCTGCTCAGCTCCCTCGCGCGCCGCAAAGTGAGGCTGGGAGCCGGAAGATGACGTCATCTTCCGGTTCCCAGCCTCACTCTGCGGCGCGCGAGGGAGCTGAGCGGACCGCTCATGGGGAAGAGCTCCCTCGCCAGCCGCCTGCCCAGCGCCGCCCGCCAGCCCAGCCGGTCAGTTAGCCTCGAGGCTAACAAAGCATTTGCCTGGGCATTTGGGGGGCGGCGTTTTTTGCCGCCCCCTGAAAAATGCCGCCCAAGGCAAATGCCTTGTTTGCCTCGCGGCTAAAACGCCCCTGCCCCTCCCGCCAGGCTGGATGGAGAGGAAGGGGTTAAACTTACCTCTTTCTCCAGAGCCGGGAGTGGAGCTCTCCTCCTCCTCTTCGGCTGAATGCGGATGCGCGGCAATTCGCGCATTCAGCCAGTCTCATAAGAAAGCATTTACAATGCTTTCCTATGGACGCTGGCGTCTTCTCACTGTGAAAATCACAGTGAGAAACACGCAAGCGCCTCTAGCGGCTGTCAAGAGACAGCCACTAGAGGCAGGATTAACCCATTTATAAACATAGCAGTTTCTTGGAAACTGCTATGTTTATAAAAACAAGGGTTAACCCTAGCTGGACCTGGCACCCAGACCACTTCATTAAGCTGACGTGGTCTGGGTGCCTATAGTGGTCCTTTAATAGTACAAAAGTAATTAAAGGTAATTTTAAAAAAAAATCAACACAGAGGTCTATTCACTAAATGCAGAATTTGGTTTGGCAATATCAACTGATTTCATTTGGCAACATTCTCCTGAATTCATAAAATTTTATTTTGTGGGCCACTTAGGCTTATTCACTAAAGTGAAGTTAAAGGACCACTATAGTGCCAGGAAAACAAACTCGTTTTCCTGCCACTATAGTATTAATAGGTCCCCCACCCTCATGGCCCCCCTACCGCCGGCCGGGCTGAAGTGGTAGGAAGGGGTTAAGCACTCACCTTTCTCCAGCACCGGGCTTCCTCGGCGCTGGGGACTCTCCTCCTCCTTCTGACGTCATCGGCTGAATGCGCATGCGCGGCAAGAGTTGCGCATGCAATTTAGTCAGTCCATAGGAAAGCATGCTCAATGCTGTCCTATGGACGCTGACGTCTTCTAACTGTGAAAATCACAGTGAGAATCGCGGAAGCGCCTCTAGCGGCTGTCAATGAGACAGCCAATAGAGGCTGGATTAACCCTAATGTAAACATAGCAGTTTCTCTGAAACTGCTATGTTCCCAGCAGGCAGGGTTAACCCTAGAGGGACCTGGCACCCAGTCCACTTCATTGAGCTGAAGTGGTCTGGGTGCCTATAGTGGTCCTTTAAAGTGAATTTCACATTTAGGTCAAAATAGCCGAAACTGAAAAATTCTCTAAGTCAGCTTCGCTTTGGATTCTTCTGATCTTAAATGTGAAATACACTTTGAATTCTCACTTTTCTAAATAACCCTGACTGTGTTCACTTGCAACCTAACAGTAACCAGTTTGAACTGCATGGATACCTGCTATGTTTACCTCCATGTGAGGTGTCAAGAGATGCCACTCTGGCTCATTCTGACAAAGAGATTTAGTCAGGAGTGAAAAGAGAGTAAGACTAAAATGAAAGAATTGGGGGGAGTGAGAGAAAGAAGAAAAAGGGGGAGGGGGCAGTGGGGAATGGCAAGGGTATTATGTGTGGTGCGTGTGCGCCATACTCTTAAGGTGGTCCTCTGGAGAGATTTTGGCTCCAAGGAGACCACATGGCTATTTATTTTTCAGCCATTAGGTTGGCAGAAGCAATTGCTGTCTCCATCATGTGTATTTCTTCAATTCTTCGCAACCATTGCTTAACGGTGGGGGTGTAGGTTTGTCCCGAGGGGAGCGGGATCAGGCCTCTTGCTGCTGTAAGCATATGTTTCTTTTTGTACAATCGTAAGAGTAGCATAGTGTTCTGTAAGGGCATCACGTCAGACGTGAATGGTATTGTGTTCCTATGTACCTTAACCCAGTATGTTGCCAGTTTTGGACAGGCCCAGAAAATATGTAGCATTGTGTCTCTAGCATAGGTCTGACAAATTTGGGAAAATTGCGTGAAGGGTCATTGGGACTCGGTACCAATGGCTTAGTAATTTGTAGTTGATCTCCTGAAAGCGGGGGCATATGGATCTTTGATGAGTGATTATCATTGCCTTTTGCCATTGTGCTTCCGACATTCTGATGTCCATCTCTCTCCCATTATCCACAAACATTGGTGGCTGCAGAGTTAATCAAAAGCAGTTGGCACAGTATGGAGATTCCCTAAGTGACGTGTGTGTGCCCTCCGGGTAGTAGTATTATTATTAGCCCATTAAGGATGGTGGCAGTTTTTCAAATTCTGAACCGAAACAAATCCCAAATATAGAATTTGTGCTATGTGTTTGTTCCACCATAATTTAAAGGACCACTAAAGTAACCCATCTCAATGAAGTGGCCTGGGTGCTGTGGTCCTGTACGTTTAAACCTGCAATGTAAAGTTCTGCAATGTTTACATTGCAGGGTTAACCCCTTAAGACCGGAGGGCGTACTATTACGCCCTATTTTAGGCGGCTCTAAACGCCGCCGGGCGTAATAGTACGCCCTCCGGTCTTTCATTACTTACCCGGGACCGCCAGCGATCGCGGTTGGGGGGACTCCCAGGGAGCCCCCCTGCGGCAGATCCTCTTCCTGGCAGCCCCCCCGGCCATGTGAGAGTGAGGTCCTTGCGAGGACCTCACAATCACATGGCCAGGATAGCTGCCTCCTGCATTGCCAGCAGGGGGGCTGCCTGTAATGACAGCTGGTCCCCCTGCTGGCTGGAAATAAAATTAAATAAATGTTAAAAGTGTAAAAAATAAATAAATAATATATACTTAGATCATATATATATATATATATATATACACACATATACATACACACACATACACTGTCTAGGTGTATTTTACTATTAATATATATATATATATATATATATATATATTAATATCAAATTACACGTAGACTGATACTGATTAAATATATATATATATATATATATATATATAATTATTGTTATATATATAATATAAAAAAATTAAATATGTAAATATGTTAAAAAATAAAATTTAAAAATAATTTTAAAAAATTAAAATAAATAGATGTTTGTTATTTCGTTCTAACTGTATTGTGATATTAATATATATATATATTTATATCAAAATACACGTAGAATGAAATATATATCTATATACCTATATATCACTACATATATATATATATATATATACCTATATATAAATAAAAATAATTTAAAAAAATTATATATATATATATATATATATATATATATACACACATACATATATACACATACATACATACAAAGATGCTCTTGGCACTCACCCATTAACTGACGTTTTCCTTTATATCTTTGCCTGGGTGCAGACCTCAGCGTAAGTGTATATATATTCATTGAAGAAAGGTGCACTCACAGGGCATTAGGGGTCGAAACGTTGATTGAGGATTTGATTACACATGTAATGCACATCTAAGAATAAAACTACTTATGGATGAAGCCCTGTGAGTGCACCTTTCTTCAATGAATATATATATATATATTAAAAAAATAGATGTATCCCCTGCACTCACGCTTACAAAATAGTCCAATGCCGGGCGCACCACCAGAGCTCCAAGATATGTAAAAACTAACAAGAAGGAAGGCTGCTCTCCGGACTTTAAAACAAAAAGTTTATTCAAATAATATAAAAAAAATTACGACCAATGTTTCGGTCCCCGTTCGGGACCTTCCTCAGGGTCAAAAATAGGACAACAAGACAATACAGTATAGTGCATCAGTGAACAATAAATACCGAAATATACAATCAAATTACTCATTCAGGTGTGTTCCCATATGTTCCTGCCAGCACCCTGTGCTCTTCCGGATATGCGCGCGCATCCTTGTGCGTCACGCCCTCTCAAATTACGTGCCTATGCGTCGGATCTCCCGTCACCCGGGCAACTATGTAAACAAAGCAACCTGCTAATACAAACCAGTGCAGCGATTGGAACAACGGATAGAACTATATGTATAAGTGTAAGGACATGAAAGTGCCTAAAAGTGCTTGATGTATAAGGGTAATCCAATAAAACAAGGATGTGAAATAAGCTGATAAATAGCTGTGCTTGTCATAAGACAATGTGTAGGCATTAATATCACTTAATGTCCAAGTAACATGTAGATTAACCTCTTAAGGGTATAGTAATATTACAGTGGAGCAAAACTATGCCATATTATAATTCATATATAGAGTGTATACAGTGATATAAAGTGCTGGTGGTATCAATAAAGTGCTAGTGATATCAATAAAGTGTAAAAGTGCAAGTTCATAAAGTGCTTAACAGATCAAGGTACAATATACTATCTATATATATGACACAATAACTCAAATATGAAATTACATATAATAACTCCTGTTACTTTCTATGAATTAAAAACAAAGAATAAAAAATAAAAAATAGCTAGCTGTTAACCTTTATACAAAAGAATGATATGTATTACTTTCATTCAACCCCATAGGAGCCACCGTATTCAATTGATGGATCCAAAAGGTCTCCTTTTGGAGCAGCATCTTTCCTCTATCACCACCTCTACGGGGGGGAGGGATGTGGTCTATACCCACAAATTTCAATGATGCCAATTGGTGCTTTTTGTCAAAAAAGTGCTGAGCAACCGGTTTATCCGATAGTCCATCCCTGTAAGCTAATCTGATACTCGAACGGTGGCCTCTGATCCTTTCGCATAACTGTGTCTCCGTTTTGCCCACATAATGGAGTCCACACGGACAAACTAATTTATATACAACAAACTGGGTCCTGCAGGTGATGGTGTGTTTTATGTCATAAATCCTGTTCGTGTGTTGATGATTGAATTTCTTCGCTGGAATCATATGTCCACACGT